GACTATTGCAATAAATTTTAAAATACACTAACAGTATACAGTTTATGCTTCTTATCTATACCACCTTTAATTTTGAAAGAAAACATTATTATGTTTCTCTATCTGTAGCTGAAGAATATCAAAGCCACATACAGCAGTATTCTCAGATGTATATACTGGTTAAGATTTATGCACTACCTATGTTAGAGACAAAATCTTATGAATTCTGTCTTAAAAATGAAGCATCATTGAACTTGATGATGTGCAGTTAACTTCTAATGTATACACAGGACATATAACAGTACAATAAAATAAAAGGTGTAATATAAACAACATCATTACAGTCAGATAGCATCACCTTTGTTGGTCCTGCTACTGTTTTCTAGTAGAGAAATTAACTTAAGGATGACACCAGTTTACAAAGCTCCAACATTTGTACATGGTGTGGTAAACAATCAACATTATAAAAGTCAGTTTTATTTATTAATGTGAATATAAATTATATTATAAATATTTCAAAGATTAAGTTAAAAGGTGAAGCCGCAACTAACTTCAGAAAATGAAAATAAAATAAATATTCCAAAATAAATGATAGTACTATGCTGCATTATTAAATCTATGAGAGTATTTACTTTTAATATTGAAACTCAAATATTAATGATGATTATAGTCATTTTAACATTTTTTATACACGATAATAAAAGAAATCATTGCCACTATTGAAAATCCTGACAATTTTTTTTTATTATTAACTTAACACTGCTGTATCAAGAATTGTTTAAACAAGTTAATAACTGAAGACAATATCTATGTTTCAACCCCTGACATTCTGCCAACAGTTTGGAAATTACAGCACTCTTAAGGAACTCATTCAACTGAAAATCTCATTGATAAGAGAAGTTACAGCCTTCTGTACCAATGCAACCTATTTCCAACATGAATATGAATACTTGAAATGTGAAGTAGGCCTAGTGATGGATTCACCCCTATCATCAGCACCAAGTTATCCCTACATGTAATATTTCAAAGTTAATGCCCTCAATACAACCACTCTAAGCAAGATTTGGCTCATATATGTTGGTATTACATTCATAATATAGCCAAACACTGTTGACAAAATTCAATAATTAATAAACCATATGATCAGGCAGTATCCCAGGATACAATTCACAATGGAAATACAAAAAGATAATCTCCCATTTCTGAACCAGAGGTCACATTAACATCACGTTATCTGCATCATTGACACAAAATAAATCAATTGGACAGAAAAAAAAGAACTTATTCTCATGAAGCATAAAAAAAGGAAAGGGATGTAATAATAATGTATAATGCATCTTAATTATTTCCAGACCAGGTGGGTGTTACTAATAGCCCTGGATTTTTTCCTGACAGTGTACATAACCAAACATAGAACCAAATTACTAAATACATAAATATTATCTAGTTTCATCTTAAAAAAATTCATATAGTTTGATTTAAATTTGCTCTAATCTTTTGTATGCGAAATCTCAAAAGTTTTGTTGAGACTGTTTTATGAACATATTAAAAGTACTCCCTTTCATTTTGGAATTTCAATTTTTGTAAAAGTTGATCAAATACTTCCATAATCTCAACTTGCAATGAAGCCATCTGAGACCCAAAACTCGAGAGCTTTCAAATAGTTGACTATTCTTCTGAAGAATAGTCAACTATTCAAAAGCACTTGAGTTTTGGGTCTTGTTTTGAAAATATTACAACTTTTGTAGGTGATTCTGTGTGCTAAACTAATGCACTGATTGGTTGATATGAGTGACAGAAGAAAAACAAAATGGCATGAAATTAGTAAGATGTTGTGCAACCACAGCGCTTCATTCCTGAAAAAAAACATTAAGAAGTGCTGAATCCACCATTAAAATCCTAGAAACAAAGATTAATTTAGGACTCAAAGAATGTGAAAATTGTTCCGGACTTCTAAGAGTCCAGAACTGTTCTAGATTCAAGTCATTTAAAAAAGTCTATAATTTTATTGGACAGTCAACATGGTTTTACTAAGGGAAAATCTTGCTTAGAAATCTTTTGACATTCTTTGCTTATGTAGATGAAGGTAAGGGTGTAGATTTGGTGTATTTGGATTTTCAGAAAGCATTTGACAAGATAGCACATAAAAGGTTTGTAAGAAAAATTCTCTATAAGTGTGGGGGATAAGCTAGCTAATTAGATAGAAGAATGGCTGGATGGAAGTAAGCAGAGGGTTATTATAAATGGAGTTCAATCAAACTGGATTAATGTCACAAGTGAGGTACCTCAAGGCTCAGTCTTAGGACCTTTACCTTTTTGATTTACATCAATAATATAGATGAAGGAATGGTCAATAAATTACTTAAATTTGCTGCTCAAATTAAGGACTTGAATGCTACTGATTGTGAAGAGGATTTAGATCATTTAGTGAATTGGGCAAAAAAATGGCAGATGAATTTTAATTATAATAAATGCGAGATAATATACGTGGGTTATCATAATTTGAATTATAAGTATAATTTGGATGGGAATAACCTTAACAGTGTTATGAAAGAAAGAGATCTTGACGCAGTGGTTGATCAGTCTCTTAAGCAAGTGAGCTGTTACTAGTGGTAGGGTAAATAGGATTTTAGGTTGTATATACAGAAATAACAAATACAAGTCTAACGAGGTTATAATTTCATTGCATAGGTTTCTGGTTAGGCCACATTTGGTGTATTGTGTTCAGTCTTGGACTTCTTACCTTAGGAAGGACACTGAATTGTTGGATAGAGTTCAGGGTAAGAGTTCCATATGGCACCCCCACTCAATTTTAAAAAAAAATCATCAAAGTAATATTTATGTATTAATAAATCATATTAATAGTATGATCTGATAATTTTAATACATTATTATACCACTTACTTCATTAATTAGATGTAACAGATCAAAAGACAGAATTACGCTGACGAAGTTGGAAGCGTTAGTTACAATAAGGGTGTCAAAAGGAAATGGGGGTGCCAAAGTAGTTTGGAACATTTTTTTTCATTTTTGGTAAACCCCAAAAAGCCATGCCCCAATTTTTCTAATACGCCCCTTAAAATAAACCCTTTTCAGAATCTTTTTTATCCAGGCAATTCTACAATTTTTGGGTGGGGGTGCCATATGGAACTCTTTCCGAGTTCAGAGGATGGTTACTAGAATGGTGCCTGGGATGGATGGGTTGTCATAAGAGGAAAGGTTAAGTTCTCCAAAATTGTTTTCTCTTGAAAAAAGAAGCATTATAGGGGTTCTGATTGAGATATTTAAGATTGTTAATTGTTAATGCATCATCATCTTTCATACTTAATGGTGAAAATCGTAGAACTAGGAGACACAAATATAAATTTTGGCTAAGACAGTTACATTTTTCTAACAGAGTGGTTGGCTTTGAAAAGGGTTGCCTTCAGATGTTGTGGAGACAATAAATTTAAGTGAGTTTAAGAAAAAGCTTGATAACCATATGAATGGTAAGGGC